TGTATATTTATTTATTTTTCTTATAAATTGTGTTGAAAAGGTTAACTAAAAGTTTAAGATACATCATGAAAATTTGTTTTTTTATTAATACCACAATACTGCGCAATCTCAAAACTGTGTTTGTGAATTAATTAATAACTTTAATTATCAACAAATTATATATCGCCCTATTAACTAAATCAATGGTTCTTCTTGTGTGAGACCAAGGATTCGAAAAGTTGTGTTTAATAATTATTTCATGCAAGTTACTAAAGGATAATTCAAGGATATTAAAATATATCTATGGTTATTTTTCGTTTGGAACTACTTTGGGAGAAGAACATTATTTTTTTCAGGTCACTGAATAAATAAATTGTCTGAGTACCGACTGAAAAAAAAACACTTCATAAAAAAATTTGACTTTACATAAATATTAATATTTTGGTTTATCGAAGTTCGGATTAAATCTAAAACTTTAATAGTGACGCAAAAAGAGAGTCTCCGCTCTTTCTAGAATTGTAATTTATATTTTTCTAAAATCTGTTAAAGGCTATATCGATTTGGTGTAATGAGCTCCCAACTGGTGATTTTCTCTGAAGTCACCAACCAAAAAGACGATGATGCTGATTGTTAGGTCTTGCCGGCTGAAACTATCAACCATCCAAGCGTTGAGATAAGTTAACCGGTAGCTGTCGAGGTATAGCAACCGTCTCTTTGATTTATAGAGGCGTAACTGTGTTAAATTTCAAATGATTCTTTCTCACCCTCATTGAAAGAAGTTATAAAGAAATGTGTGGGCAAAAAAGTAACTGAAGAAGTGAAATAAGAATCGACCTTAATGCAAGTCCACGAGGCACTTTGCTGAGCTCGTGCTATGATAGCTCTGCACGCACTAGGAAGAGATTATGCACGGACAGCCCGGGAGACAGCATGCCTTCCGTAGCGTGTTGCTGATAAAGTGTAAGCTCATCTATCATATCAGGAGTTCTGCCACACCCTGTCATTGGAGGCTTCATCACGCTATGCTAGAAGGTCTGAGCTGCGGCAGGTAATAAAGACATGCTGCTATAGTCTGTTTTGTAGTGAGCGTTTGCATTGATCTGAAAGTATAGTGGAATTAAATACCCTATTTCAGTGCACAAAAACACACGGTGAAAACCCTCTTAAATCCATCACCTAAATAATATCGGGAAAAATTATTACTCCGTTTTTCCTGGAAATACGTGATACATTTTAAGCTTGAATTCATACACTAGTTGTTTTAGTTTTCTTGATGTTTTAATTTTAGAATAATATTCGTCTAGTAACTGTTGTAAAAAATAAATATGTAGTGTTATACATTTCCTATAGCAAGTTTCTCGAGATATGAAAAGAATGGTATATCACGTAGTATTTGGTAGATGCACATGGTAGATGGATATAATTGTATATCATATATTACTTAGTGGATACAAGTTTTCTGCTCTGAACGTCATTAATCACATATGCTTTTAATAATATAATTTTTTAATAATAGAATAGTATAGGAGCATGTGCTGAGCTGGTCTATTGAGTCGTTTTATTGGCTTCTGTCTTACATACTCGGTTTCACATGTCCAATGTACACAATCCATATTTATTACCCTTAATAAATCTAAACTCATATTCTTGAAATTTAAGAACAGTAATTATTCTCCGTGTGGTATTAACAACTACTGTTGTATGTGCGCGCTGCTAAAATTGTAATGAATCGGTAGTAGAAAAACACTGTTAGTGTATGTATTTCTGTAAAACTTTGTTTGCGTGCATCCTACATTTCAGCTATGTATTACAACATAAAAAATAACAGTTATTTCTAAATTGCTTAAAAGTTTCAGGAAAGTGATATAAATATCATGTAATTATATATTTATTATAGATGAGTATTTAATTGTAATATAACAAAAACATAGAATGTTGGTATTTCGAATTTGATATTAACATATATATCCCTGTAAAAGTGTTTCTATTGTAAAGCATCGTAGCTCTGCTCATCAATTCACCAAACTGCAGTGAGTAATTGATCTGTACATTGTGTTTTAGCTATGTACACATCCCAATTTTTTTGGTTGTTGTTGACGAAGGTGTGTCAGGAACAATTGTTTCGTTTCAAGTAACAATCTGCTTATCTTTTCTTGCTCTAACAATTACTTTTTTTGGCTCAATTGTTAGCTTTACCGATTCGTATATTATTATAAATAACAAGATTGTTGAAGGTATAAACTGAATAACAAACTGAGAGGATCCGGCACTCAATACTCGTTGTAAAGCAAACACTAGTTCAAAGGATCTCAAGCTCTCATAAGACTCTTTGCAAACAGAAGTGTTTCTATATGACGTGAGTCTCTCTTAAGGCAACCTACCTAGTCGAGCATGATGAGTAATGAGTCCGTGCATTGTATCGGTACACGCCATTGAGCAAAAGCTCGTTAAAGGAATCTTTTCCGCTTGCGAGGAATAATAGCACACTAATTAAACAACAAACTGATTCTGTTGCACATGACGTTCACATTTCAGTATGTTGATATGCCTTCCTGTTAGTAATCATTTGTCTTTTCTCATATCCGGATTCTCTAGCAAATTCGGCAACTTAGATGCTTAACGTGTTCTGGTAAGTTTAATTTCGAAAGGATCAAGCAGATGCTATAAATCAATACTGCAAAGACAATCTTCTTTTAATTCATCACTCTCTCCTTCACAGGCATTTTCAAGAATGTATGAATCATAAATATAATTAGCTTAACAAAAGAGAGAAATAAAACAAAAGGGATACAAACCAAAAACAAGCAACAAGCTTTAATGGAAAACATGAAAAGTGCATGTAACATGCTAAAAATTAGCTTTTTGAAACTATATGAAGCCATTTCAAGTCCGCTTAGTCTACAGGAAACCTTGACACTTGTAAGAAATATTGCTAAAATTTTCTTGTTTTCAGCAGTAATATGTAAACACGTTATGTAGTTTAAACACCTGTTTTGGTGTTTCATCATACCTCGCGGCTTTTTTTTATGTCTATTGAGCTTCGTTAGTTTTCCGTTTTAGAGACCATTAAAATCCTAAGGGGTATAGTGTCCTCAGATTTAGGCTTAACTATCAAAATAATTATGAAAATTGCAACTTATAATGTTAAAGATAAGCAACAAAATTCAATTTGAGTAAAAAAAAAAACTGTGAAAGTTGCCTCATGAGATGTGAGAATATAATTTATAATTTTGCACGTATAAACAATAATTATAAGAACAATGCCGTAAATAATTTTGAAACCAATTGGAACATAAGACTAGAGATAAGACTAAAAATGCAAGATAATGTCAATATAATTAGATGACTGACTATTAAATACAAAAGAGTGAACATGGCCAAGATATTTTAATGTCTTTTGTCATTTTCTAACCATTCAGTACTGTCATAATTTCCTGCTTTTGTCTTCACACTTTCTAGACCAGTTTCAAAGTAATTTGTAAGTTCTGTATTGATTTATTCTCGTCAGAATATCTTTTTGTTTATAATTTTAGTGCTTTAAATTAATCTTCGCTTTAAAGCGTTTATTCAATTTTTATAACTAAGAAACAAAATTATATGTTATTAGCATATGCACTACAACTACTCGTATAAGAATACACTTTAACGTATCTGTTAAATCGTTTAATCTAAACATCTCTAGCCTCAACCATTAGAATTATGTGTATTTTTTGTATCAAAATCAAATAGTAATATCCGTGACACTTACGTGCTGTTTAAATAATGAAATGCCTTTTCATTCCTGATAGCTGAGCTATACTGAGTTTAAAATATACAGACAATCCTGATATGTAATGACTTAAGTACAATTTATAAAACTACAATTCACCAACTTAATCTAGTTTACACCGAAACATTTTTCATTCAAGTAAATTTATAAAATTACAATTCAACAACTTAATCTAGTTCACACCGAAACAGTTTTTATTCAAGTAAATTTATAAAATTACAATTCACCAACTTAATCCAGTTCACACCGAAACAGTTGTTACTCAAGTAGCTGTTGATATAAGTAGCGTCTCGACTAGTATTATGCCTGTGGTATTGGATGAAAGGACTCGTCGGCACTGGACATAGTGGTTATAATATGGTTGACATAATATTAAATCCTCCATTACTTTCATTCGTAAGTTTTTCTAATTAGTTGAAAATAATAATCCAGTATTATTTATAGAATTCTGAAGTTTAATGAAATGTAAGCATCATATGATGTTCATTATATAAATATAAGAAAAAAAACACAAAATTAATGTAACTTTAGTTATAGATAGTTTAATCAACAAGGAAACAATATAATACATATATATTTATAAGTTAATATCCCTATCTAAATCTCAAAGGTGAAAAATATAGAAGAAAATTCTTCTATTTTATATTACACTGACGTCTTTTATGCATTACTATTCAATAATTTTGAATTTTCCCCACCCTAATACTTGCACGAGAAGATAAGAGTGACAAATGGACGTTGACAGTGACGGTAATAGAGTTCTTTCTAGAATTCAACAAAAGCCAGTGCCTATAGTATATAGTCCAATAATTCTTGACGAGCACCGGTGGGGTGTGTGACATGACGTCTCCCACAAAGCTGAAGTTGGCAGGTGCTGT